CCGCGCTCCACAACCCACGTGTCCCCCACACAGCCACAGAGCGGCGGCGTGAAGAGGCAGGTGCCGAGCTCCCGGTCAGGGGGAGGCCTTGAGGGGCAAATGCCCGACATGAAGGATCAAGCGCCGCGCGGTAGTCAGCAGGGCAGCAAGGCTGTGGCGCCAGCTAGGGATCCCGTCGTGCAGAGTCGGCCGCAGGGGCGACAGACGGCCGTCACGAACGAGGGCGGCAGGAACAAGCGGTGCGAGGAGCAGGAGGGGCCGGTGCCCACGGGGCCCGTCGTGCAGAGTCGGCCGCAGGGGCGACAGACGCCCGTCACGAACGAGGGCGTCAGGAACAAGCGGTGCGAGGAGCAGGAGGGGCCGGTGCCCACGGGGCCCGTCGTGCAGAGTCGGCCGCAGGGGCGACAGACGCCCGTCACAAAAGAGGCTTTCGGCGGTGGTGTGAGAGATGGCGTAGACGCTCGGGAGGCCGCAGATCGTGATCCACTTACCACGACTTGTGCGCCGGAACTGACTCCAACACCAATCGCCGCAACTTGTTCCGCCACGGAGACGGCGAAAAGGCGCGTTGCGGATCTCAGGAAGGCATGCCCGTTTCTTTCGCTGGAGCCTTCTTTAGGGATCTTCCTTGAGGACCTCAATCTCGCTGATCCGCGCCTGGACGCCGCCATGAACCGTATGCGCGCCGTGCGTGGCAATGCCTCGGTGATGCGGGACTACCGCTCGATTGCGCTGGTTGAAGACTCCGTCAGTGCCGTGGTCGAGTCTGTTGCCGCGGAATTGTCCAGGGCAACGTCGCGAATGCTGTTGCGCTACCCGTTTCTTGACGGCCGCGTGCGAGGGGTGCTGCTTGGGAACATTCACAGCCTGGACACAGACGAGGACATTCAATCGCTGCTTATGATACGCCGCGACGCGGAGCGGGCGCGGAGGCCGACGGAGAGCATCGACACTTGCCTGCGCGAGCGTGCGGCGGCGCTGGTGGCTGACATTCCGTACGTCGTGGAGGAGGAGCGCTGCCGGCAGCACCCGTTCGTGCTCACCGCGCCGCCTGCTTCCTTCGCTTCCTCCCGCCTCCCATGCGAGGCGGCGGTTTACGGCGATCGCGGCGGCAGTCAGTTGACGAAGCAGGCGGAGGTACTTGCGCCGACCCCGCCAGAGCCGCCCGCCGCGAAGGTGTCTGATGCGCCACCGCAGACGGGAGCCGCTTCAAGGGACGCGACTGCGGTGCAGGCAGCGGCGGGGGGTGGCGCCACTACGCCTCCCCGCGCACCAACCGCCGTGCCGGCGGCGGCGGAAGCCAAAGCCCCATCCCCGTCCGACAGCCCCTCTGAGAAGACGCTGCCGCACGCTTCATGGCTTGCCAAGGAAACTGCAGGGGCTGGCGCCGCGGCGCGCTCCCCGGTGGTGGGAAAAATAAACGAGGAGGAGTACAATCTCCCGACAACGCGGCTTCCTCCGACTAACCTCCCTTCGCTGGCGGGAAAACCGTGCAGGGCGAACGAACCAATGCCGCCAGCTGCATCTAAACCGTCTGCTTTTCCGGCTGTACAGGAGGCAAGGGATAATGCTGCGACAACTGTGCCTAGCCCGGGTATGCCACGGTTGCCTTCGCCCGCAGGGGAGAAGCAGGGTGTGACGGAAGTTGCACGTAAGTCACCTTGCCCTGTCGCTGCACCCAACAACGTGGGGCTGGCAGCCGCGCCTTCTGCCGAATCTCAGCCGGCCCCCCCTGAGGACTTAAACTTTCTTGCTGTGCATCGCGAGCTGGAGCATGAGCGCCAAAAACTGGAGATGCTGGAAGCGATTCTTGGGGAGGTCCGTCACGCGGGCATGGGGTTGCTTGGGGGCGAGTCCCCGCCAACGGGGGAGGACGTCAGCCAAACGCCACCGGAGGAAGTGAGGAAGCTGACGCTGACGGAGGGTGTGCAGCAGGCGGTGATGAAGTCGTCGCACACGGGGCTGTTGCCGAAGACTCCCTCGCCCTTTTTAATGGCGTCCAACCCACCGGCCGAGGGAGGCGGGTGGTTGTGCCCTTCAGCTACGCAGCCTGCCGCCGCAAGGCGGAACTCTGCCTCATTGGGACTTTCATTCGAGCAGCGCCAGCCCGGGCAGACGACTCGCGGGCAGGGCAGCAACGGAGGAAATGAGCTGCTCGTTAAGCTTCTTGAGGAGCGGCGGCGACAGGCCGGGGCGAAGCCCGCGCGAGAACGGGGCGCGGCGGAACCTCGCCCCGGCGAAGCGAAGCACTCTTCGGCGAACTCCTTGCCGATGTGTTACAAGTCCCTGTCGGACGCGGTCGTGAGGTCCTCGTGGGGAGACTTGCGGAGCGACACCGCCAGCGACTGGCCAGGGGTGTTGCCGTCGCTTGCACGGGTGCTGTCGCAGGATGGCGGCAGCAAACAGCAGCCGTCGTACGACTATAAGCGGCGGCCGTGGGGGCGCTACACGCTTCGGCGAGACGCTCCAGCAGGCGCGACGGTGCAGCGGCGCCTCTCAAGCGCGCCGGGAAACTCACGCCGCGACGACGAGAGCCACATGCTCTTCCCCGCGATCAGCTCGTGTTCTTCCTCAGGCCACTTCCAGCGCTTGGAGGAGGATGCCGAGTGGGAAAAGGTTTCCAACGCCAACATGGGGCTGAGCCAGAAGTACGCGTGGCTGTGCCGGCAGGCAGGGATTAAGCCGAACAGCGTGTTGCTGCGTGCACTCCCTGAGGAACGGGGCGCCTCCGTGAGCCGCATTGACAGCTCCGTGAACTACATCGGCCCCAGGGGCATCATGCCCCTCCTGAAGGTCCTGCAGAGCAACGTTGGTCTGGAGTACCTTAACCTCAGTCGCAATAACCTGGAGAATGACGAGGTGATCGAACTCGTGAAGCTACTCATGACGGAGAGCGGGGCGGCCTTGCAATTTCTAGATCTCTCCAACAATCCCATTTCCCTTGCGGGGGGCGCGGCGCTTCTGCGCCTTGTGCAGGCGAGACCCGCCCTGCACTCTGTCCGGCTGCGGGGAACGCTGGTGCCGCAGCAGGTGAGCCGCAGCATACAAGAAGTCTGTGACTCCAATCACAGCGGCGCGTCCTAAACACCTCGCACTTCTCCCAGAAGAGAAGAAAAACGTGAACAGCAGCAGCAGCGGCAGCAGCGAAAACAACAACAACAACAGCAAATAAAAAGGAGAAACGTATCCACAAACTTGCGCGCAGTTGTGTTGATACCTTTATTGGTAATATAAACTTCCCAGCTCCACCTCTTCGTCCAGCCGTCGTTTCTTTTTTGTTTTCTCCTTGTTTTTCTTGAAGAAAAGGGGGTTTGTAGCTCCAACTGGTGGACCGTGATGGCGGAGCCGCGCACCCGCGCCGGCGCTTCTGCACGTATCTACCATTGGGCCTTGCTTCCGTGTTTGTGCGATGTAAATACGAACGACCGAAATGTATAGAAATCAAATGCTGGGACTGAGAGGAGGAGGAGGGTATAGACATCTCTTAATTCAACACCGTTTTTTTTATCTTCTGCTGTTTCTGTTCCTGTGTGTGTGTGTGTGTGTGTCTCAGTGTTCCCTGGAGTTTGTTTTATTGCGCGTGTGCGCTCGAGCGGCGTGGGATTCCTCCTCGTGTGGCGCGTGGAGCGGAGGTCGTCGGGGCTGGGCGCTGAGCGGCGGCCCCGCACGAAGAGCGGGCGAGGCACTGGAGGGGACGGGGGGAGGAACAGCAGCGGAGGGGGCCCTAACCCACTCCTGCCGTCTTCTCCCCTCCCAGCGCCTCTCACGTTATCCGCCGCTCGTTTTTGTTTTTGTTTTGCTTCTGCTTCTTCTGCTGCTGCTGTGCATCGCCGCCGCCTCCTCGCCGTCTTGTCTGTGTTTTGTGTTCCCGCCTTGCCTGCTGAGGAGGGCAGCCGCCTTCGGCGCAGGCGAAGGGAAGGAGAAAGCAGGGCGGCGGGTAGATGCTGCCCGGGCGACAGGGTGGCGGACGCGCAAACTTTGTGGTTGCCGTCCGCTGCCGACGCCTCGATGCCCGCGAGGAGGTGGTCGCCTCGCCGCGGTTCGCCCGGTGCGGGAGCGCGCGCCAGCACTGCGTCCTCCTCAACCGCCCCGCCACGCCCCCACCGTCCGCTGCGGCCGCGGCTCACTCGGGGGGAGGAGGGGAGTTGCAGGCGAGCGTAGTTCTCGTTGACCCGGACGCCCGTGGAGATCCCACCGCGCGGTGGAGGAACTGCGGTGCGGCCTCGCCGGAGGGGACATCGCTGCAGCTGCGGCTGGACGCGGAAGGGCTGCGGCGTGCCCTGGCCGGCCTCGATGGGGTGCGTTGCTTTAACTTTGACGCGGTGTTCCCACCCACGGCGACGAATGAGGAGATTTACGCCGCCCTTGTCCAGCGACTCGTGGTTGCCGCGGAAAACGGCTACAACGGGACCGTCTTTGCGTACGGCCAGACAGGGACAGGGAAGAGTCACACCGTGTTTGGGGAGACGGATGAGGGCGTGCCCGGGCTATGCACGCTTGTGGCGGCCGACCTCTTTGGCCAACGCCGCCGACCCGCATGGCTTCCCGACCCCGGTGCGCCAGCACGCCTCGTGCGAGCTCCTTCACAGCAAGCGAGGGAGGAAACAAGCATGATATTTGTGTCCTTTATGGAATTATACAACGAGCGGCTGCGTGACCTCCTCGTTGACCCGGCCACGGCCACAGCGGCGGAGGGTGTGCAGGGCCGGATGGAGGGAACACGGGGCCGACGTCCCCCTTCCTGTCGGTACGACGACTTGGAGGTGGTGGAGCATCCTCTGCATGGGGTGCAGGTGCCGCGGGCGACAAGTGTCCGTGTGCGCTGCGTTGCGGAGCTGCAGCAGCTGCTGGAAGAGGGCGGCCGCCGCCGCACCAAGGCAGCCACAACCAGCAACAAGGCGAGCTCACGCAGCCACGCCATTGTGCAGTTTATCGTGAGGCGCCGCATCGGAGACGTCGCGGATGCGGCGGACGCGCGTGATGCGCGGCAGGTCGCGGCAGGCCGCAGGGAGGAGGAGGCGCTGTGCTCTTTCCTCACCGCAAAACTCTCGATGGTGGACTTAGCCGGCAGCGAGCGAGTGTCGGGGTTCGCAGGCCTGACGACCGCAGCCTCTGCAGAGGGATCTGGCGCCCACAGCTTCGGCGGCGTGCCCCGCCAGCCGGACAGCCGTCGTCGGGAGGGATCAAACATCAACCGAAGCCTCCTGGCGCTGGGCAACTGCATCAAGGCCCTCGGAACCGCCTGCCGCCGGCCACGGCGCATGGGCGCCGCCTTTGGCAGTGACACAGCGGCTTACGTTTCTCACTTGCGGCGGCAGCAGGCCCTTTCCGCGCAAGGCAACGCGCCCACGTGTGCGGCCCATGTTCCGTACCGCGACAGCAAGCTGACGCGGCTGCTGAAGCAGTCGCTGGGCGGCAACACACAGACCGTCATGTTGGCCACCGTCTCCCCAAGCTGCGCCTGCTTCGAGGAGACGCTTTCGACGTTGAAGTACGCCGCGCGGGCGCGAAGCATCACACGCCAGGTGCGTCAAAATTTCCTCCTGGCGGCGTCGGACAATGAAGCGGACGAAGCGGAAGGGAATGTGCCGCCGACGGCGCATGACGGTGGTCGTGTCGCGTCATCCGACAACAACTGCGCTTGGGAGGCGGAGCGGCAGGCAAATGACCGGCTGCGGCTGCTGGAGCTTGAGGCGGAGGTGCGCTCGCTGCGCACGCAGTTGCACGTGGCAGAGGCTGCGACGGAGAAGCTGGGGTTGCCGCGATCTGGTGGGGACTTGACAGACGTCACGCCTGTCGTCTCAGCAGCCGCATCGACGGTGGGCTCCGACGATGTCGCCGGCAGAAGTATGGATGTGGATCGTTGTTGGGCAATTTACAAAGAGACACGCCGTGAACTACGGACCCTGCTGCAGGAGAGGGCGACGGCGTCTGCGAGGCGGGAGAATAACGCAGGTGGGCTCCGGGCTTGGGGAAGCAAAGGGCCTATCCGTGAGCTGCTGCGGCAGGAGCGGCAGAATGTGCTGCTGCGGGAGCGACAGCGCCGCATAGAGGCATTTCTGTTATAGATGACACCCGACGCGCCGACGAAAAGAAAAGAAAAAAAAACTAATAATAATCTGCGCGGCAGCACCATGGGGGCCACTTATCCTTCCACCCCCCTCCATACCTCACTTTGCCTTCCCTTTTGTTACTTGCCACTGGCTACGCTTTTCTTCTTCTTCTTCCTTCTCACCACGCAGACAAGGCGTTCCCTGGGGGCCGATGCAAATTATTGGGGCGGCGGAGATCCTCTTGCCGCCGCGGTGTATGCGTTCGTGCTTCACGCGCCGCAACTGAAAAAAAAAAAAATGGGCGGAGCTGGATGAGGGAGGTGACGCGGAAAGTTGCACGGCAGAGAGTGTCGCAGGGAAGCCCTCTCCGCCGTCGCCGCTTCCCAGGCCCATGCGGGGAAGAACTGGTGGTCTTGCAACGGTTTCCTGCCGTTTGTGGAGGTTGGCTTCTTTCTGGGCCTTGGCGGGCCCCGAGGAGTGGGAGGGGGGTTGACCTTGCCCCGCGTCGTTGTTCGAGCCGCGTGTGAGCTGGGCGCCCTCTGCATCGAGGCAGTGCCCGTGACCGCGGCAAACTTTTGTCGCACTCGTCCCTGCCTATGCGAGCAGAAGCCGCCGCGGTGGTGTGCTCTGCCTCTGCGGGGAAGAAGTTGATGTAACTCGTCCGAAGTGACAGCCGGCCCTGCTCCCTGCCGCTGAAATTTGACACGAAGTCTGCACCGGATGAAGTGAGGCCCATGCGTGTGTTTCACTGACTGTGTGTGGGTGCAATAGTGCCGCCCGCGGCTTTGAGCCCTCGCTGGCCGGCGTGAAGGAGAAGGATCCGGCGGAGCCGCTTTTGCGCTCGGGCGCCCGTCTCCTGCATCCGCCTGGATGAGCGCTTCTACAGTCATTGTCTGTGTGCGGGGTAGGCTGCAGCACCTTTCGACGTGGGACGGCGGCGGAACTGGGGGTGTCGCGAGGCGGCGATCGGGCGGTTGAGGCCCCGAGGCGCCTTTGCGCCGTGGAGCTCAGCGGGATGTTTGAGAGGAGGAGCCGGTATTGACGCCGCATGCGGAGCGAGGCGTTCTCCAGGCCACAAACAGGGGGTGTTGTACGTCCCGCCCGCGACCGCGGATGTGTGCGGCGTGAGTGGGCACCTAAACCCCTTGAAAACCCCCTCGGGTTGGCGGGGAAGCTTGACAGGTGGGCGCGCCGCCGGCTGCCGCCCTCCCAATCCACAGGAGGGATTTCCGGACACTTCCAGAGGGTGCACGAGAGGGCAGACAATGACCATTGAGGTGGCGCGTAAACTGCGTCACCTACATGCCCTATATATGCATATACGTATGCGCTTGCATAGGACCGTATTCCCGCCCTCTCTCCTTTTCTGTGTGTGTGCGTTGAGGTGTGTCCCTCATGCGTGGTGCGATTTATTTTATTTACATTGGCTTTGAATGCTTCTTTGCTTCCTTTTTTCCGATCTGCTTGGATCTAACGCGGCTCTTTGCGTCGGGGGAGTGGCGCCCGCGGCTGTTCACGCCAGCCTCAATGACACTCCTTACTGCACCGCTCCCAGCACATTTCATGACTTCCTGCAGTTCTACTTTTTATTCTTTTTCCCGCCGTAGAAACACTTGACTATATATATATATAGAGCGAGAGAGAGAGAGAGAGCGAGAAGACGAAGGGACGACCTGGGCCGTTGAGTGGGTTTTGTGATGGCGCCAAGCGGCTCTGCATGCGACTGCGGCAGAGCGCCGTTGGCAGCGAGTGCGACGACGGCGGCGGCGTGTCCGGCGGCGGCGGGTCCGGATGCTGCGCGGGCCGTGACGGCGCACACGTACCCAACCACGCCAACGCAGAAGACGACGAGGGGGAGCACGAAGTGGAAGGTGCAGCGTGGCGCGCCGGACGGCGGCGGGGCGAGGGAGGCCGCCTACTTAGCGGAGGGATGGAGGGCCGACGTGGAGGCGGCCGCGCGGAGGGCGCTGCTGCGGATAACACCGCACGCCCCCAACTCCGCGCCGTGCAGCGACACCGTCAGTGGCTTCCGGTGCCGGCTGCCCACGGGGGCACCAGCTGCCGTCAACGTTTTTAACTCCCCAATTGCGACCTCGCTCGAGGAGCGGCCATCCTACCGAGTGCCGTGGGAGAGGTTTAACTTGAAGACGCAGAATTACAAATCTATTGGCTCGCCGAGGGCGAGCACGGCGTCAGCACCGAGGCGGGAAATCCACGAGGTCCACATGCCACAGTCACGTACAACTGCTTCCAGCACGCAAGGCGTTGATTTCATTGCAGCAAGCCCCCGAGGCCGCGCCGAAGCTTTGCCTGACTCTCTGCCAGTGGAGGATCTGCCGCAGGGAACTGAAGCGGGTGAATGCGTACTGGTAGCGTCAGGGAAAGTGACACACTTGCCCCAGCTGGTGGCGTCTGGAGAGCCTGCGGCCCACGCCACGGAGGCCGGGAAGTTTGAGCAGCGGGTGGCTGAAGATTTGGCTGAAGTCGCGCCGGCTGAAGAGGTTGCGGAGGTCACGCCGGCTGAAGAGGTTGCGGAGGTCACGCCGGCTGAGGAGGCCGCAGAAGTCACGCCGGCTGAAGAGGCCGCAGAAGTCACGCCGGCTGAGGAGGCCGCAGAAGTCACGCCGGCTGAGGAGGCCGCAGAAGTCACGCCGGCTGAGGAGGCCGCAGAAGTCACGCCGG